AATGATCACTGTCACAGTAATCGCAAATCATAGCACAGTCGCAATATCTGTCGAAATACTCCCAATGTGATGTTTTTACTATATTGTGCAACCCTACATTAGAGAGGGCCCACTCTGATCAGTCTGTGGGCACAGTAGACTGTGTCCTTTAGTCAACCACAAATTTTGTAATGTACTCACAGCAAATCTACATCGAACAATTGTACACAATCAATGGGGAAAATCACTTAAGTTGTAAGAGATTAGCCTAAACGACTATTATGTAATGGGTGTTTTAGCTCATATTTGGCATGACAAGAAATACCTAAAGCCGCAGGACTACTTGTGGCTTGAAGCTGATACGATGACACATTTTTTGAGTGAATCCATTAGGATCACAGCAGTCGCGTGTCCCAGCCTTCAGGCCTGCACAAATATGACCTCGTTTTCAAATTTGGCCTCTTTTTTCCAAACCTGCCTTTACTAGAATCAGTCAGGAACAATTTGTATACACATGGACGTAAAGTCAAGATGTATTAAGGTCTATTGCTTTTATATTTACCTGAAAGTAAGAACACACATGCAGGACGCAGCCAGCCCTAACCATAAAAAAAACCACCTGTCTCCCAATTTTCTTTACACCACAACCAATGTGTTGTGGCAACAGTGGATACTGGAAAGAGATGCCTTTTTTAATCCTTCCTGTCACCCGACAGCAGAGAGAAGGTAGACAGAAGAGGAGAGAATCTGAGAGTTATTACTGTCAACATTTACAGTGTTTACTGGCAGTGCTGGGGTGCATAGCAAGACACCCAGACAGGAGGGAGAGAGAGAGAGAGAGTCAGAGAAAGATGTGTCAATCAGTCTGAAAGACACTGGGGGGAAGAAAATGTTTCAATCCTACTCAAAAGGCAGTAGCTATTTGTCTCTCAGGGTCATTCTTCTGGAGCCACAAGCTTGTTTGTGTTTAAGCTTCATTTCTTACTTTTCTATTGTGCTGGTAGGAGCTGGAGAATAAAGACTAATGCTGCTATCCATTTGTCACATAAATCCCCCGCCAGAGTTGGAAAGTGTAAATCTCGCAGCTATCTCGCTACATTTCACTGAGACACACCCCCTTTTGGTCGTAATATCAGCCGTCCCACTCGGGGCTCCTCAGAGTACACCGAGCTGAAAAAGGAGGAACGTACGACTCGCAAAACAAAGATGGCTGTGCCCATATTGAAATGTATTTTTTCTTTGTATTTGTACTACGTTGGTCGTTTTAATGTTGATTTTAAATGCTCTTACACACTTGTTTACATTACTGCTTTAGTCCGGTCACCAATTTATGCATTGCACTGTGTTGCTGTGCGTGCAATACAATGTAAAGTTTTGTTTTCTAGCTGGTTTGCGTCCATGGTCTTTCCGACTCATAATGCCCAAAGACAAACTGGAACGCTGTAAGTGGTACAAAAGTCACGTTTGCGCGTCAGAGCAACTCGGGCGGGGGATTTACGAGACAAATGGATAGCACCATAACACTATACCTGAGTTTAAGAACGGATATAAAACTTATATAAAACTGTCTTCCAAAACTTTTTTCTTGACTAAAGTTCTAAAAAGTTTTTATTTTCTAAACAAGCAGCTGTACAAAAACTAAATTATAATTTACATATGATTTAAATATTTAATTAAGTAATCTTTAATCTTTTAGTAATCTGAATATTAGGTACACAAGACCATAAATCTGACCAGGAATATTTTGCTACAGACACATTTTTGTCAGTACAGAAACAGTGTTGTGGTCTGATACCCAGCTTAACACACACACACACACACACACACACACACACACACACACAATAGGAAAACACATATAATAAAAAATAATAATAATTATCACAACTATTTTACTTTCTCTTACAATTTTAATGCAAAAAAATGGCTTAAAAACATTGCAACAGCAGAAAAGCTGCCGTGAAATCAGCATGTGAAATCATGGAGGGACTGCAATATCAACTTGAGATATCCTCTACAAACACAAACTTTCTTATAATGCCAAGAAATGTTCTAAGCCTGTCGCTCATTTGAAATAAGAGTTTAAGTGTTTCTTTTGTGTGTGAGTGTGTGTATGTTTGAGTGTAAAAACGGGCAACAGCCTGTGTGCTGGCCTGATCGATGGCCATAATGGAATATTTGGGCTTAAGGCCATTCACAGCAGAGTCCCCTGGTAACACTAAAGTGCATCAGGGAGTAATTTATTCTTCTGTGACTGTTGGAGTGTGGGTGAGGAATGGTTTGTGTGTATGGTGATTCACATATGTCCACCTATACAGTATGTGTGAACATACTTTCATGCATGTGTGCCTTTGTACGACGCAGTAGGGCAGGGTTGGTAGCGTATTGATCCCAGCTGATACCTCAGGCTCTCCCATCGATCAGCAAAATGTCTCCAGCTCACTGCTGAGCCTGAGCCAAGCTCTTACCTCATAGCCCCATAGCATCAGAGCATTATCTGAATTAGCTGGAGACGCTGGCTAACATGATATGTCAATATTTCTGCAACAGTTATGTCACCACTGACTATACAACAATAACATGAGGAGAGCTACTTCGAATCTGCTTGAAGTCTCGCAATATTTTTCCTTTCTCACTCTCTTCTCTCTCGCTTGCAAGAAATCTCAATTCTAAGAAGCCATTCAGCGTCTTAAAAAGGCTTAATACGCATGAATATCAAATTAAAAGTCAAAACCAGAGATGATTATGTCACTTGTTGGCAAATTGCCTTTTTCGTTTTTTTCCTGAAACAGGTGACAACATCTTGAGAATGTGCCCAGAATGTGCGCTCAAAGAGAGTTTCAGTAATGCTGATTTGCACTGGGAATAAGCCACTGGAAAACACCCCCACCCCCGGGGGCCGAGGAGCTGGGTGACTCAGACATTAGCAAACAAGTTCATATATTCAGCTGCAAGATGGCATGGTCTCTCTGTTACTAAGGAGATGGTACTAAAACCTTCTGGACATACAGTAACTACAGTATCTGAGGGACAAACTGTATCTGTGCACTCCTCTAAGGCCAGCAGTGTAGCAATAAAATCACAGAAAGTTTGATCTTTGAAAAGTGACAGTGTCATCCACAAAATATACTGTATCATGCACTTAAATCAAAACTAACATTTTATATCGGGCCTAATTGTGCAGCACTCTTATTAAACCAGCTACTACAGATTGAATAGATGGATTTATGTAGAATGTGATCAGTTAAAATTCTAATAAAAATTTGAACAATTTAAGAGTTGCAAAAAAGATTAATCAATTAGTTGTTCAAAACCAATTGAATCTACAACTATTTCAGTTTCTTTTTCTGCCTCAATGGAAGTTACCAGAATGACAACGCAATGCTAAAGTGTCACGACTCTTCAAATTTCATCACAATCCAACCAGCAGCATTTAAGACAGCGACAATGTAAAAAAGCAAACAAGGTTTTGGTTTCTGTTTAATACTTTTAAGTTAGTTAGTTAAGTATTTGACCAAAGCCAGCCAGGGAACACATTTATCTAGATTCTGCGAAACGTTGACTTTTAACAAAATTATTTCTGTTCAACATTTACATAACTGCAACAGATAATCAGACATACAGGCACACTGCATGGTGTCTGCATACAGACAATAACTCCAGTAGACATCTGTCTGAGCATGTGAACAACATATACCCTAACAACATATTGTATGTAGAGATCCGTAGAGATATGACTGCCGATGGTATCACTGTTATAAAGAAACACTGTAATGATGTGGTGTGAACACTCCCTGTCAGCTGTTCAATTCAACAGCTCTCCCCCCCCATCCTAAATGTACATAACGCATTAACCTCTCTGTGGTAAAAGACTGACAGCACATGTAACATGCAACCTATTTCATTTGATGGGGGTAACACATTTAAATGGATTCCCTTACTGTGGGAGAGGGGGGCTTCTGGGAACATGTGGCTGACCTGTGAAGCATACAGCCTGTAGCCTCCTGTGGGTCACCAGTCTTGCAGAAATAACCTGCATTTCTCATCCTGCTCTTATGCAGAGAGGAACATCCTCCCTGAATGAGGGAGAAAGACCCCTTTCAAAGAGGGTTAAATACACACCAGGCTTGCCCCCTGCTTTCTGCGTCTGTTCCCATCACATCAGACAACAAGCACACCGGGTCCACACACCATCACTTCAGGAATTTAACGCCCTTTACGTGCTTTTGATACACCAAAAATGATGCCTCTCTCTTGACTGGTGACCAAGCAGCAACAACAACAAGACTGTCAGCTGTCTAACACTGTAAATAACAACAAACAACTCAAAGGAGGGGCAAGATACAGTATGAAATGTCTACATATTTAGGAATAACTCAATCGCATCCTCGTTGTGCCTCACAGACACAACAAACATCTACAGTGTGTTTGATATTAAATCAGTTTAAACATTGTTCTACTGTTTCCAGTGTGACTACAGCCATAAAACACAGTTTCCCCTCCTACTATCATTGTAAACAAGCTAACCCGTGCAACGTTAATAATGCCGTAACGTTACAGTAACGTGAGGCAATGCGTCCGGTACTTAAAAGTGAGTTTGAGCGGACCTTGCTGGGTTTTTAACATCACACTGTTAACACACTATTCTCATATTATTTGCTGTAATAGTCCCTTGTATGTGTTTTCATTGTGAAATAGTTATTACAGCTCGTTTGAACGGCGTTCAAGTACCGTAAAAGTGACAAACTGCCAACACACTTTTTCTATTTAACGTTAGCTAGCGCTGCTAATAGTCTGCGAGGTTTAGCCGGACCCACTGGGGCAATTTTACTCGCCACAAATGATATTTTTCACGCTAATCTCGGTGTTATAGCCGCTATGAGACACAGGCTAAAGTCAAACTAAAAAGAAACTTGGACGGAGTTAAAAGTGCAGGTGACTTCCAGCTGCGTTCAATGGCTCGGTGTTTTTCCGTAGAGCCTGTTAGACTGAAACCAGGTTAAACAGACACATTCCCCTACCTGCAGGACACTGTGATTTCAACTTTGGTGGCCGGAATAGACGCGTTGAGCGGGTCGAAGTCGCCTATCGACGCCATGTTTAGGAAACTGTTGTTCATCCTGTCATGAATTGTTTTTTTTTCCTTTTCCCGTGTGGTGTGGTGGTCCAGCCCCTTTTTCTTTTTTTTTTGCGAGCGACGACGGACGGCGAGAAACTGTGTGTGCGCCTCCTCGGCGAGAAGTGGAGCAAAGGTGCCAGAGAGAGAGAGGGAGAGGCAGGCTGAGAGATGTGATGTCACTTCTCCCTTTCTCCTCCTCTGTGTGTGTCTCTTTGCCTTCTCCCTTCCCTCTTTCTTTATGCCCCTCTGCCATCTCCTTCCCCTCTTTCTGTCAGTTTCACTCTCTCAATTCAGTGCAGTTCAGTTGACTTCTGTTCAGTTCATTTAAAATTCAGTGCTTCAGATTTACTGGCATGGAAGTAATGACAATGATACAATCATCAAGAAAATAGAAGAAATTTGTCATGAAAAGTCTCCTGTGTGTGTGTGTGTGTGTGTGTGTGTGTGTGTGTGTGTGTGTGTGTGTAGGCACGTGCACATTCCCCCTGCCCTCAATGCTCTCATCCACATCAGTTCAATTCAGTTTACTTCAGTTCAATTTAGTGTGTGTTGCTGGCATGAAACACCCCTCACTCCCTCTTGCTCCGGCTGGATTAACCTGTTAGGGGGCCCGGGACCCCCCAAAGAAAAGCACTGTTGGGTCCCTAATGATGTCATCAGGGTCATTTCGGCTTTACCTTTAATTTATAACAGAAAGCCTGTGTTACAAACCCCAGGTGTGGAGTTTGAATGAAACGAAAGATGATGTTTGCATGATGGGAAACGTAGTGTTTTATGGGCTTAATGTTTAAAAAAGTATTTTGACTCTATATCTTTTTGTTCCTATGTCAGCTTTATGGAAGCGCAATACTAAATCAATGGAGGGCACCTTTAAGGTTAACATTTTTACATGGGGTCTCCCTGTCTAGTCGCCCATTCTGCCCCCTGTTGTCTTTGTGTGTGTGTATGCGTGTGTGTGTGTGAACAGTAGAGTATATGTTGGGCAGCACATTCAGTCCCTCTGCCACACACTTTTTCTGGTGTCTGCGAGGAGATTATTAGTATTATCATTATTAGTGTTTTTAGAAACACTAATAAGTCTCTCTGTTCTCGTTCTCTCTCTCTGCGCTATGAGGATAAGCATCTGATTTAATTAACTGAAAGGGAGACCCTCCGCTGGCAGAGAACAGAATGACAGCATGATGAATATGAGGGGATAAGGAGGAGAGTCACATTATGAGGACATGGTGTGTGTGTGTGTGTGTGTGTGTGTGTGTGTGCGTTTCTAAAAGAGACTTACAATGTATTGAACCTTCGCTCTAGGTGTGTGTGTTTGTAGAGAGGTTGTCAGAATGCATGTGTGTGCCATCAAAAGAAACCGCTGATACAGTGGTCCTTTAAGTGTGTGTGTGTGTGTGTGTGTGTGTGTGTGTGTGTGTGTGTGTGTGTGTAGTATACAAGGGTACAACAGTCCTCCTCACAAGTATATCAAACTGCCCTCCTGGTGAAAGAGAAAATGCCTGCTCACGTTTGCTATATGCAGCATAAGTGTGTGTGTGTGTGTGGGGGGGGGTAAGCATTATGTTTAGATGATAAGAGTCATAGGATTTTAAAATGACGCATCTCAGTATTACTCACTGTGTTTACTGGCAAATCATGTCTCTAAATATAGCTGTCTTACAGACACACATGGACCGACACGCCCTGGGCTGGATTTGCGGCATGGTGGCAAAAACCATTAGCACACCTTTGGGCAAACATCATGCCACCACCCTGCGCCCACATGGGTGGGTGGGGTGGATGGGTTCATACACACACACAGGGGCAAATATGAATAGACGCTCACTTACACAGACACACACACATATACAGTTTGTACAAACAGAAAGACAGAGGCCATCTGACTGTAGCTTAACCCCTCTCTGCAACGCCCCCTTGTGTTGGTCTAAAAATTATTAGCAACTTATTAACTACAAATGAGCGAAATTATAAGAGCTACTGTTGTTGTGTTTTTTGGTTTTTTTGCTAATGCAAGTATTTTTCCAACCCCCCTTCTATTTTTATTACAACCAGGTGCACCATGTGTAACTCAAAAGCCATTTAATTAATAATTCACTATCATAGCAACAAGAACAAAACTGTTTTCACTCTGAATATATGCCATAAAATGTTCCATATGACTGTTGTCTAGAAAATGATTCTGTAGTTATTGCAGTAATCCATTTTGGATAACACTGCTATCTGCAAACTCTATTTAAGCTTTATAACGATATGTAGCATGCATATTCATACATTATATACATTCATATTTAAGTAGGTTCACTGTAAAACAAAAAAAGTGTCTTTAAGTAATTTATGCTTATACATTTAATGGTACAAGTGTCTTCTTCGATTAAAGCCATGAACCATGGTTCTGTGATGTTTACATTAGAGGTTATTAAGCATTAAATAGTGATACATAAAATCAGGTGGAAATTAGCCTAAACCACTACTGCTGAAAGGGGTTAAAGAGGGACACACACACACACACACACACACAAACACACACACACACAAACTGAATAAAACTTTTCCATGCTGTAAGAATGTTGATAGCCAATAATCATAATTCAGCTACTGAATCCCCAGACATGCATAAAACATGATGCCATTTATTACAATAAATTCCTCCATAATTATTACACGCAGGCATGATAGCAATCTCATGTCTCTGCATCATAAGACCCATGTACACACACATTCATCACTAATGTGTTTGTATGTTCACAATGTATACATGTAGAAAGTATATTTCTATTTATTATATTGAAGACATTGTTACTAAAAAGGGAAAAAAGTGATGTTTCCCATTTGTAGGAGATTTTTATGTATGTATTTGAGCTGAAATCTATATGTATGATGAATATTGAATGTATAATTATGTACATAACTATATTCTGTTTTAGTTGAAAAAACAATCTCACCACATTTAGTAGCTGTTCTGGAGCTTTCAGTCATATCAGTTGATCTTCGTCAGCACATGGAGTTTTCCTAGTTGTCACAGAATTGTACATTTTAAAAGTTGAGGTTTGAAGTTCATTCTAGACCCTGAGAACACCAGCTGAGAAAATAATGTCACGACAAAGTCCACATGGTAGCTAATCTGAAGCTTTCGATCACCAGCATGTTTTCATTTGGATTTTTTGCAATGACTGACAAAAGAATGTAAATTTAGTTTTTTTTTTTTTAAATATCAAATTTACACTGAGCGTATTTGGACTAGACTTGATCTGTCCCAAAATGTCAGGCCTGACGTGCACCGAACCCGAAACATAAACGCAATTTTGGGCCCCCGAGACCGACCCGTACCAGAATCTCTGCTTAAAACAAATAATAATATAAAGTCTATTACAACCTAAAGTAAACTACATTGTGCAAATTATTATTAAAACAGTTGCATGCATTATTAATGAAATATTAAAGATATATATATAAAAATAATACAGCAGCAGTTTTAGGACCCGAATGGACCCCACATGGCCCGCTGGGTTCGGGCATAGAAACAAAGCTCTAACTGGGACACGTGGCATTACAAACACGGTGTGAAATGTGCTGCTCTGTGAGGCTAATGCTGTACTATGATGTTTAGCATGTGCGTCATCTTAGTTTAGCATGTTAGCATGGTTACATTTGCTAATTAGAACCAAATTGAAAGCACGGTCAAGGCTGATGGCAATGTCATCCATTTTGCAGGTTGCATGGACGCATTAAGAACATGAATGAATGGCGTTACTAAATTTCATGGCAATTCCTCCAATAGTTGTATAGATATGTCATACTGTACCAAAGGGGTGGAACGACATTGCCTTACCTAAATCTGTGCTGCTACCCTGGCTAAAAATCTCTGTCATACTGGTTACAGATGTTTCCTAGACTCACAGCTACCAGACAGACCAATTAGGGAAAAAATGATTCAGGTACAATAGAGTTAACAGTAAGGTAGAGAATTGCAAAAATGTCCTTGCTTCTTGTCTTTCTCTTTCAGCTCACAGCTACGTGTCCTGCTGTTCACATCCCAGGTAGTTATGATCTTGAATGTTCTCATTTACTCTCCACTACACAGGGTTCAACTGGAGAGCTCTCTGGATGTAATAGTCACTGACACTTGCCACACACTTTATTCTGACCTGCACTTATATGGAGAGAATTTTCTCTCTGCCCAATGTATACAGGAGCACACACTTGACCTGCTCACTATGGTTGCTTCTATAAGCCTTATCTCTCCCTCCTCCCCCCTTTCACGTACAATATCTCCTCCTCGGTGTTCATCCCCCATAGTTTTTTGGTAATCTCCACCTTTTCATGCTGCTCTCTTTGTTGAGACATCAAAACTCAAGCTGATTCAGTAAATGAAACACAGATGTCATTTCTTCAAAAGGCACTGCCCCCTAATTTCATGCTAAAACGCTTTTGGTGGCTTATTAAAAATGTTGCTCTTCCCAGCCTGTTTTTCTTGATAACTGAGATCCGCCGAGAGGGGACAAGGTTGATTTCTGTAGCCGCATTAAGAGAGCAAGCAGGCAGTATCACGGCTCATCAGTTCTGGTCATAAAGCAGCGGCGGCGCTGGTATTTTTAGCCGGAGGATTCACCCTGTGGACGCTCATAGATAGGAGACACGGTGGTGAATATTGACCCTGTCCTCCTGAGCCTCATTGCCGTTCAGATAAACGTCTTTAACTACCACTTGGCTGTCCTCGCCTGTTTCCCCCCACACTTTATCTCTTACCCTCTTTCCTTGTTTGTGTTTTCTCACCTATTCCGTCTTTGTTTCCATATGGCTGTCAAACAAATAAAATGCAAATTAGGTTGTTTTTTTTAAGTGAATAGCTTGCTGAATGTCAGAAAACAAAACATTCTTGCTGCTAATGATGCCCATATTTATTTCATGATTTCATCCAAGGTAAAAACTGTGAAATGCACAGGAACATTCTCTTAATGCACCAGCTAATGGCCAAACAATAATGGGAATATAATACTGAAAAACATGGTCCAGAGCATGGCGTACATCATTATATATTTGACAAATGCATTTCTCTCACTATTTTTGTGTAATTTCTTATGACAAATACTGAAAGGAGCCTGGAAAACACACACACACACACACACACACACACACACACACACACACACACACACACACACAGAAACAAACAGGGCCAAAGCTCATCCCTGGCAATTCCACATAGAAATTAACCTGTATTGATTTTAATCCCTCAGTAAATACAAAGCACCTGCAGCTGTACAAATCACATTATTCAGACGGATTTAGCTGTGAAACAAGAGCATCCGGCGGGGCCCGCACACACCACCAATCAATGTGTTCACTGAACAGATTAAAGGCGGATATATTATCCGAACTCATCATAGATTATGCTACAATTAAACTGAAAGTGGAACTCCCCGCCCGCTCTCTCTGCGTGAGAGAAGTCATTATTGATTTCTTGTGAAACTTGATCATCTGGCTCGTACGCCAGTGTGCCAGGAATATGAGTATCATACGATTCCTGTAGACAGTAAACATCCTTAAGAGCTGGAAGGACAGAGATATAGTGTTCAGGTATGAAAAAGCCACTTTTGGAGGACATCCAGGTGCTTTCCAAGAACTTGTTTCCGGATTAAGATTTCCGTGACCCAGTTATCTTTCCTGTCACTAGCCTGCATAGTGAAAGCGAGAAGATAGTTTGGTAGAAGGCAGAGGAATAAGCTTATACAAGCTCACACTGTAGTCCATTGTTGGCTGTACTTCCTTTTAAGTGATCCTATGTCACAACAAGTAAGTAGAGTTTCTGGTAAGACGCACATACATATACAGATAACTGTGGATAGCATCTGGTGAAGGGTTCATTTAGGCTGACGTTAGAAATGGTCACGTTAAAGTAACATTTCAATATTTTGTGAAATATGCTTATTCAGTTCCTTGCTGAGATTTAGATGATTAAATCAATTCCACTCTAATGTTTCTTTTTTATATGGAGCTACAGCCAGGGACGCTAGCATATGTGATACCTAAACCAAGCTAACCCTCAGTGTAATATATGAAAAATTGACATTCTACATTTAATATAGATACAGTGATTTCATTAGTGAAAACTGATGTTTTCTTTCATCTTTGGACGGAGCAAGACTAGCTGTTTCCCCCCTGTCATTGTGCTAAGCTAAGCTAACCACTACTAGCCCTAGCTTATTTAGCTAAAAAGGCATATTTCCCAAAATGCCAAACTAGTCCTTTAAGGTTAAAGGTCAAACAAATATAATAGTTAGGGTCGCATGTAGACTTTTAAGTAGTTAAGTATCAATATTTTCAAATGTTATATACAATAAACCAACAAGGTCAGCTAGTTAGCCGACCTAGCTAACTTTAGCTAGTAAGTAGGCTACAATATGCATCTATCGTGATCCTCTCTTACAGATGATGCACTGGTTTATGTTAGAATCACGTGTGCACAGTAAAGACAAAGTGGCGAGCTGATTTCCAAGCTGACAATATTATGACATTAATGCAATAATTAATCACACGTCTCAAAATGAGAAATAATCAGTTCTCTGCCAGAAACAGCAGAGAAAGGAAAAGGTTATGTTGAGTTAATCAGGGTGAAAGTTGCAACGTGGGGGTGAGTTGTGTCATCTGAAAGCCCTCATTAGAATAGTATAAAAGTGCAATAGAATAGAAGTTCAACACAGCACACATTAGGTGGTGTGAGGCAGCCGCGAGTCGGTGCTCTGCTCCTGCGAGGCCAATTAACACTCTGCTGCTCTCAGTACAGCTGAACATTAAATATTGATCCCTCCATCACTGTTCACATTAATTTGTGTCTTCAGGGGGAGTTTCTTACCCCTTTTTCACCCCCTTCTGTCATTGTCTGTGGCTCCTGTGCTGAAGTAAATCACAGGATACAATATTACTGCCTGAAGTTATAATTAAAGGAGGAATGAAACCAGATAAATGATGATTTAATCCACAATACTTCCATAGATTATGTAATTTCTTGCAAGGTGATGTATAGTATAATGTATCTATACAGAGGCTGTGTTATGATGTTTCTGGAGTAACAATAGTCCCTTATTGCCCTCTTCATACCATAGTACACACTTGCCTAACACTGAGCCCCAAACACAAATAATACAAATCTGAATAAGAAAATGTTAAACAGACATCTTGCAGATAGCTGCTTTCATTAACCCACTCATATAATCCAACTGTATCATCTACATTGTCAGAGAAACAGAAAAACTGACAAATAAAAAAGTCAAATCCAATATGATTACTTATCCAGTACACCACCTGTCATTATACTACCACCATGTGGTCACAATCAAATAATACATGGGTTGAAAAAATATATATATATAAAGACATAACACAATCTTTTTTTTTTTATTTTAAAATTTATTTTCACACTGCATCTGATATTTTAACTTGCACTTGAAATTGTGCACAAGTGAATCAGCAGGAAGAAAACAACAGTTGTATTTACACAAAAGCAGATTTACAGTCAAATTTTAAAATAAGATACAACTACATTTAGTGGGGTAACTAAGATTTTAAACACACTATCTGATTTATTATCAATAAGAAATACTTACAGCTCACATTGTTGCCTTTTTGGGATTCTTTATTTAGCAATTTAAGTCAATGGAACCGAAAACCAGTCTTGTGCATTAAACTATGTTGTGAGACAATGGGGAAAAACTGATTTACAGTTGCAAAAAAATAGACTTTTCAGTGCAGTTTTTTTAGTCCCATTGACTTTAGCATTGCTGACAATGTTTACCTCCAATATTCAAACCATAGCAAGTTTTTATTCCAATAAATTTAAAGGATACTCAAGATACAGTAGTTCATGATAAACTACCTGAGCCTTATAATAAGGGAAAGCCATATTTGTCAGGTAGTGATTCTACAGTTTAGGATTTATTACAGGCACTGATAATACACCTCCGATTATGGAGAAATCCATCCAATATATTCTGTGCAGCCCATCGTCCATGATGCTAAGATATCCGAGGCATCAGATGGAAATTAGTTAAAAATCTGATTGATAAGGAAGACAAAACAGCCAAAAAAGTCAAAAATCAATGAAAAAATAAATAAATAGTAGCATTTTAGATTCATATTTAAAAGACTGAATGATGTTTGATATGGTTAACTGCAGCCGGTGTGCAGTTTACAAAGACAGCAGAGGAGAACAGTACTGTACGATGAGAACAGAATGAGAACTTATCACATCATTTGGATTGAAAAACACACATACACGCATCTTACAGGAATAGATGCTCTCACAAAATACACGTCATATCCCATGACAAGGTGCTTGATTCCATAAACATGAATGATTTACATTGATACAGCTATACGACTCAAGCAAAAGGTCCCCTAAAAGCAGGAGCTGCCAGAGTCGTACTTCATCTTTGAAAGTGTTGCACAGCCACTAAAGGTTAGAGAAAGTAAATACTCAGTGGGTAACCTTTTCATTGGAAGTGAGAGTATGTTTGCTGGAGACCTGTGAAATGCAGGTCAGAGAAGCCAGAGGGGAGCATGCTGACAGGAAAGTAAAACCATTCAGCAGAGGAAACACCACTTAAGGCTACAAATGCTTGGAAACTGTCCGTGTATCAACCAGAGAATACTGAAACCAGAAACCCAGCAGCTATTCGTGACCGCTGACAACACATCACTTACGGAAATATCGAAGCTGTTTGGGAAACATTGAGACACCTGGATTACTGAATGTAACAGCTATTCTGTCTCAGGTTTTAACAAGTTGATTTACGGATAAAAGCAGGGTCTACCTGTGGGATTTTTCTTGAAAACCTGGACAACTATACTGCCCTGCAAAGCCAAGATCACAATCTGACTTTTTGACATGTTTTACCATCTACAAAATCATTACAACTTACAAAAACCCAGCATATCAGATTTGAAAAACAGCGGTAAAGACCGAACTGTGGGTGTCTACACGCTAGCTAGTTAAGGGTTGCTGGCGAAAACTACTTCACCCACTTTTTCTACCTGTTTCCTACATTTAAAATCATTGCAAATGAGTTTATCATACCATGTAAATAAAGGCAGAAGCTAAATCAGATCACCACCAGTTAAACTAGTCCTGCTAGAAGCTAATCAGCCTAGCTTAGCAGAGTTAGCCTCTGACACAAGAGGGATTTACATGATTTGATATGGTTAAGCTACTTTTCAATCATATACTCAACTGTATTAATTCATTAGACTAGTTATTCAGTGCAAATAGACAAGAAAATTAAAGGAAACCTTTGTTTTTAAGTTCCTCTGTTTCACTATGTAGCCTTCAAATTTCAAGCTAATTTTCCCAACTTCACTGTCCCTGTAGTTACTGCTTTTGTTAGGAATATTGTTGATGATACACACATTTTTATGAAGATATAATATTAGTCAGCAGTTGATTTAATGAACTCTAACTTGACACTACAGGAAATACACAATCTGAAGTGTTAAAGCAGAAAAAGGACCCTGTCAACAAAGCGTAGTATGTTTTATTTAGAGGCCTCTCATGTTCCACTAGAGGGTTTGGCAGTAACAGCTGAAGACCATCGCAGTTTCAGTCGTTTGGTCCTTGGTTACATCTGACGCGCACACACACACACACACACACCCATAATGACCTGGAAAGCAAAGACAGGACACATCATGTTAACACCCAGGATGGACTCACAGTTACTGCTGGTGAGCAGGATTTCCCTGTCTCGTCTCAGGATGACTCTTTCAGCAAGTTTTCATGGGTTACAACACGGTGCGAGGGAGCAAAGCATTATACCAAAACCTGTTTTTTGTTCTCAGCAGCTCTGGCAAAATTCACTTTATGCATACAAGGTATCCATGTTGTCATAGTGCTGAACTGAGCAGAGGAATGTGGAAAGCACAAGAGACTCCTGGATCGACACAGATCCATAAATCCATATTTTACTTTCATTTTATTAATTACTGTCGCACTTATGAAAGGTACGGTCCATCGCAGCTGTTCTGTAGTCCTTGGAGATCCATCTTGACCTAAAACATCAGTAAGTACACTCTGACTAAGAGCAGTCGCATCTAATCAGACTTCCCTGACACGGATCCCTGTGCGGCATCAGTGAAGGATCGATGTTGTTTCAAAGATACATTTTTCAGGCTGGGATCCACGCTTTCAGGCCCCAGACCCACTTTGGGTGCCCATCCAACACAAGCGATGGGTGATGTTGTTGCCTCACAAATGATTGAGATTGACTGGGCCAGTAGACGATCCTCGATTTCAGGTCAGTTCGGTGATTGTGAGGAAGCAGGTGTCAGTGGACTCCTTCCTCCAGAGATCCTTTGGCTTCCCAAATCTTTACCGTGCGATCACTGCCAACAAGCACAAAGAAAAAATATCAACAAAAGACGCTTATAATAATCAATACTAGCTTCAAAATCACATTTCCATTTCAAGATTTTGCATTTTTGATTGAATCGTATCACTACGCGTATTTGACAGTAATGAGAAAAAGCCTAAAAATTCAAATGGGCATGTTTTGTGACTCACTCTGAGGCAGTGAACAGTTGGCTGCTGTTAGTGGCCAGGCCGTTGATGGGACTGTCGTGTCCCCGGACCTCGCCGAGGGGTGCAAGTGAGTCGGCGTGCCAGAGGCGCAGCAGTCCTCCTCTGCAACCGCTGAGCAGCATTGGAGAGCCTGGCACCACGCCCAGAGCGCTAACCCAGTCTGCCTGTGTGCTGACAGACTGCTAGAAGAAACAACAGAGTTTGTTCTGTATCTTGGATCATACTGTAGTTTTTAAAGTTTTTTAAACTTTAAGATGGTATCAGCGTACCTGTAGCAGTTGTTTACCGGCTAAGTCCCACTTCTTGATGTAGTAGTCTCTAGAGCCGCTGTAGAAAACATCTCTGTGCACTGCAAGAGATTCCACGCCGTCCTGATGAGCCGGATCAAACGTATGGCTGGAGCTGATGCTACCCTGAGCACCTTCTGCCACCTCAAACATCTGGAGAAACCAACTGTTTATTGCATACATGCAGAAATGGGAATGTAATTACAGTTAGTGTGTTTATTTGTCTCTTACTTTAATATGATGGTCTTTGGAGCCAGTGAGGACAACATCCTGTCCATTGCCTAATTTATCAACAGTCAGACACATGACAGGTCCCAAATGGCCAGTCAGCTTCCCCGTGGACACAAACCTAGACAAAGAAGAAAGTAGATGAGATTAATTCTGTTCTTTCTGGAGGGTTTGTATGACAAAAACTCTGATCAGTGTTTGAACTTACTTGCGGAGGTCCCACATGCGCACAGCATTGCCGGCGGCAGCGTAGAGGAACGTGCCGGAAGGGTTGAGAGCGATCTGGTTGATCTGGCTCTCTCCTGGAGGGATGGATAAACTCCTGGCAGAGGAACAGACATCCCCTGAACCCACCTGGCCTGATGACCTGACATCCAGAAAAATACAAAATCCTTATTAGGGACGTTATGCTTAGACAATGTTAGGCTGAAGATGTCAGGAGATGTAATTGTGCTCTTACGTGAGAGTGCGGATACACTTGGCAGAGTCTCGTATGTCCCAGACTTTGATGTAAGCGGTAGAAACAGTGAAGACGAGACTAGAAGTGTACCTGAAATATAACCACAAAAACATATTTATCAAGAGCACCCCATGTACTGCTACTATATACTACAATTACTGCTATTAAACTTGTGCTATTGCTGCACACTTGTACCTGACTGAGACAACACTGCTGGGGTGATCTGCCAGAGACATGATCTCCTGACCCGTCACCAGGTTCCAGACTTTACACGTACGGTCTGAGAACATGCACACGAAGCACATGTTAGAGAACAGACAAAAAAATAATACTACGTTTTGCAAACAATTATCGTTTTTTTACCTTTGGACCCTGTGAAGAGCAGATCATCTGTGGCGTCTACGCAGAGAACAGGTTTGGTGTGCCCCTCCGCTACATAGACACACTGAAGTTTGGCCCCGCGGCTGTTCTTCGGGGCCGTCACAGGGTTGATAACACCTCTGCAACACACACGACATGATAAAAGCTATACCTAGTGACTGGTACTACTACAGTACAGTTGATGTGATGCATAAAAACTACCAGCAAATTTCTATTTAAAAAGAAGAGGCCCAATAGATTTCTGAAGATGAACTTAAATTAGGATGAACATTACCTATGGCTTTCAAATACAGATGACTCCTCCAACCTGAATAAGAAAACAGTAACATAAAAAATAAGCCAATTATAATATAAATTTCTGTTATGTACAATAAATAATCAAAAATATATATCATAAAAAATTCCTGAATATAGGAATATGCTAATTATTTCATCAAGTTTTCATGCTGGACACAAGATGTCTCCTACTTCACTGCTTTATAAATGACTTTAATGTTATATGTCATATACAGTATACGCTTCATCCAGTAACAGTTGACATGAACATGAATTTAATCTTTTTTTTGTATTCTCAAAAGTTTTCTCAAAGTTTTGAATGATGCTATAACTAACAATATGTCATATTCTTTGACATGGGGGTCTTGAGTCATAGTGCTCACACAGCTGAGAGGACTTGAGGACATATGCAGGTCAAAGAAAAACATGACGATGGTATTTTTCACTTACGGTGATTTGTGGTCGCTGCTTTTAGTTTTAACCTCTGCTGTGCTGAGCGGAGGTATGTGTGTGGGTGCTGGTATGTGTGTGGGTGCTGGGATGTGTGTCGGTGCTGGGATGTGCGTCGGTGCTGGGATGTGCGTCGGTGCTGGGATGTGCGTCGCTGTAGGTCCTTTATCTTGCACTCTCCTTCGGCTGAGGGGCGAGCGCTCCAGTTGCCTCCTCTCGGTCCCTGTAGGTGACCTGGATCCAGAACTACAGAAAGTCAAAGAGACAGGAGTTATTTTGTACTTTGGTACTGTAATGAATAATGTAATGAATGTCTCTGCATTGCCTTGCAACCAACAAGCTCAAGCAGTAATTTAGAGCTACAGTACTGAATGATGACCATGAACTAAATAAATAGTCAACATGTCAGACAGAGAGGTATCTTATCTTCTGCCACTGAGGAACGCTGCTTTAAACACTCACATGCCAGCTGGCCTGGCAGCCAGTGCAGATGGGGAAGCAGTTTGTTCGCGGTCAGGGGTTTGACCAAGCGCGTGACCCTGCATGTCTGCTGGCCCTTCCAGACGGTCTGAGAGGGGCAGCAGAGGGGCCGAGAAGTCTCCGGTGGGAGATTCACAGGACAGATCCCCACTGCTGGCATACAACAGCTCCATCTGGGTGGTGGTCCGCCTGCGAGCCTGAGGGACCAGAATAGTTTGGCTCAATATTCAGCTGACTCACAAGTCAATGGACAAGTCAGTAATGATTCCAAGTCCTATAAATAATTACTGAGGAATGGAAAAAGTTGTAGTTACAGAAAGAAAAGTGTATATACAGTGTATAATGATGCAGAGCACAGTACCTTGCCTCTCGGTCTGGATTCACCACATAACTTCATTAGATCTGATGCCAGTGTGCTGAAACAAAGTGAGGGATTATTAATCAGTTACACCCAACTAACATGCTAACATGCTTATGCTCCAGATACTCCAATACCATTATTTTCTTCCCAATCTTGATACCTGAACCTTGAGCATGGTCCAATACAGAGTATTATGATGTGCATTTTAAAGAATGCCTTTGTTGCTTTGGATTGGTTAGTATTAGGGTAAAAATATCAGGGTAACCTAAGAAGGGTTGGTCATCGCCTCACCATCCTAGGGGAATAAATGGGAATTCTGGAAAGTAACAGGGTCCTGTTTCGAGGCTAATATTACATGGTGGCGGATCGGTGAACAGACGTATATACTCGCTGATACCCGATCCCGCATTTTAAGCAGTATCAGAGACATACTGACATAATACATAATGTAAGGAAAAATAAAAACATTTTAGCCAGCAAGCAGCTCTGATAAAGGCAGAACATATAGTGCTGCCTACCACTTCCCACTGTAAATTATATTATTATTATCATTATTTTGTCATTTTAGGGAGGCCTTTTAATAAGCCACACGGGTTATTGTCTCACATGATGTACGTATTAGTTCTATCATCAAGTGTCCATGTTTTAATTGCACAACTAAATTAAATTACATTGTTTCTGTATTAAACCAGACAGTTTAGAACATGGATGGATGCTTTTGTATTATACACTCTATCCGTAGCCGACGTTTTTAGCAACGCTGACATTCCCACACACACACACACCCATGGTCCACCCACACAGGTGTTTTCACTTACAGCATGTAGCCGGTGTAGACTTCTGCAGTAAGAAGGCGGCTGTGTGGGTGTGTACAGACTGTGTTTGACATCTCCCTCCTGTTTGTTTTGGCTCACATGTTCCGACTAGACAACGTGCAACTTAATAAAGTTTTTTTTTTTATGTACATGCAGTTTGGTAACATCTCATTTCTCTACTTGAGAGGCTTGCCTGATGAGCTATGAGCCGAGGATGCAAAGGTACATCCACAGAGGAAGTCTTTTTGGGACCGTGGCGCGTCAGTGGACAGACGATGCAGCTGTGCCACACATCGTATCTAATTGACATCTCAGATGGGAGGGAGTAAGATGCAAGGACAGGAGGCGAGGAAAGGAATTGAGGATGTGCGAGCTGAGAAATGAGAGGAGGGGCAAGTAACTCCCAGGTCTGCCAAACGTCAGCCTGAGCAGGGGTCTGATTATGTAGAATTAAAAACACCTGTGTGCATTAGCTGTGTACTGCGTGGACCTTACAGCACAGGTGTAATTAATAACACTAACGATGGCTTGTCCCACTTAAGCGTCCCAGTAAGCCAGCAAGACACTGGACGCAGCCATAGTTAATATTATTACATAGTTATATTTACACCTGTGCTTTTGAAATATGACACTTAAAAACAAGCTGCCCATTCTTATGCACATTTCTGTTGATTGTAAATAAAACAAGTCTGCTGTGTGTCTGGATTTACCTGCCCTCCGTGGCTGGACTCGGGGTGGACTCGTCGCTACTGCTGTCATCTCCATTCTCTGTAAAATACATATAAATTACAACACATAGTGATAGATATAATATGACTTCTCACTTAATTTGCAAAGCATGTGTGTTTCTTTTCCTAAATGTTCCAGTATATTTGCTATAAAGCTAAATATAATACAGCACAACAATGATAATGGCTTCAGCAGTTCATAACAAGGTCAGGGGTCACCAGGTTTAGTTTTACATAAAGGGAGACAATCAGGGGTCATTAGTGTAATGCGACTGGAAGCTACAGCGCTGGAGTATTTGTCCTGTGTAAAGGAAGAATGGAGAAAGCATGAGAGATACAGGAAGACACAATCACAGAAATGCAAACACACAAACTGCCGTATACTCGCGACTTCAGCTTTGAGTCTTACTGCTGTTTAGTTTTAGAGACGACAACCTGAGTAAGTGGGACTTGCTAGCAGGTGGGGTGACGAGGGAAACTTAACACATCATGCACGTCACGGCAGAGTTACTTCAACTGGTTAGTTTTTAAAACGGAGGACCGAGTGTTGATGCACACTACAAGATTTCTGAATCTAGTTTAGAACTACAGTTACTGCACAACATACTACATCTTATGTTGAGTATTTATATATTATTTTTAAGTAAAGGGAACAACAAAAACAAAGGTCGCCCAACTAAATATGTATGAAGTTTTTGGCAAAACAAAAGATTAAAATGCACTTATGAGTTGACAAATTCTTTCATCTTTTAGTTAAATTCCATATTTGCTTCTAATGCGGGGTACATTTTGTGGAAATCTTGTTGTGTGCATGTGCCACGCTCTCTCAAACACAGCCACATTGCTATGCATCTCGTACTCACCTGGTGACAGGTAACCTAACTCTGAGTTCACACCAAACACAACAAACAAAGAAAACAAACAAATCAAAATCCAACCCAAAGATGAGAAAGGGGCTACTCTTTATTTTACAGGCCTGCTTTTTGTTTCAATGACTTTTTTTGTTTTCTCTTATAATGAATATTCTAATGACAAAGTATCAATACACAGAAAAGAGAGGCCTGCAAAATTTAAATGTAGCCATGTGGTGAGGGAAATGATGATTAAAAAAGGCGATTGTGCTGGACATGCTCAGAGCGGCATCGACTCGTTGGCGTTTCCCACCTTGCAGGGCGCTGCCCAGCAGAGCGTCCAGTTCCGGGTTGATCTCAGCTTTCTCCTTCAGCATGTGGAACAGCAGCTGGTTCTGGGTGGCGCTGTTGATCTCCGTCTGCTTCAGCCTGCCCTCCATCACCTTCAGCTGGGAATCCTTCTGAGACGCCTGCAGACCCTGACAATGACCACACAGCAGACGGGTTATCACTCGAGATGCAGCAATGAATCTCGTTTTAATTGTTTGTGTATCTCATAAACAGGCAAACCCAATGAGGCCTCGGTCTTTACCTTTAGTAGTCTATGTTGTTGTAATTACTTCCACTTCTTCATTTGTTCTTTGCTTCTGGGTTCCTCACTGGACCAATTAGGTTTCATCAAATCTAATCTTATCTAATCTAATTGAAACTTAATTCAATCACGCTGCTCCATTTAAAGTCTCATTGAATTCGATCTTATAAAAGGAGCCGTGGCCATGAGAACAAAATCACGATGAGTAGACAAGTTGTATACAAGTTGCCAAAACAACCATGGCAACCGTAAGAGCAATCACATTACAATCCAGTTCGCAGTCCATTTAGTTTGAAAGAACATTCTGGGGGTGGGGTTGGGTGACTTTTATAGAGATAAAAAATGGGGTTTATCAGGTTAAATAAGTTGTTTCCAGAATAAAACAGAAACCTTACTTTACCTGTTGTCAGTACATGAAAGCAAACAAAGACACACTAATGACATTAAGACTCAAATAACATTAAGAAAACAAGGGCAGTAGGTACCTTATTGATGGCCATAGTTATGAGATGGTCCAGAAGGAAGCGGGCCTCGGATAAATTACAGGAGCTGATCACCGCGGTAACATCCACTGTGTCTCCTTCCTCCTGCAGCCCAGAGCAATAACACATCCAATAAAGAGCCCCTGTAAGAAACTCACAGGACAATGTATTCGACCATAATGTATCTTGCACCATTTTTAAAAGGAATATTTTGGGAAATGCCCTCACTCACTTTCTTACCAAGAATTAGACGAGAAGATTGATACCACTCATGTATCTGTGTGTTTAATATAAGGCAACCACCAGCGACCGGTTAGCTTAGCTTAGCACAAAGACTGGAAACAGGGGGAAACAGCTAGCCGGGTTCTGTCCAGACGTAACAGAATCCGCCTACTAGCACCTCTAAAGTACCACACAAATTAGTTCTTAGTTAGTAGCCAAATATTTACTCCCAGTAACTGCCAGGTGTGACTGAACCATCCGACAAAGCTAACCTTAGCCTGCTAATTTAGACAAAGAATGGAGTAAAATAGGCGAAGGGATATGGTTGACGCTGCGAGCATGACGTTTGATTAAAATATTGTTTAATGACATACCTTACCTAATAAAATGTTCATGCCAATAGCCAAAATGATTAAATAATGTCAGTAAGGTTAGCTTAATCTGATATTTTCATTTCTTCTTTCTCCTGCCTCGAACGTTAGCTACTACAGCTATTGAGGGTACAGTGATTGGGCAGCAGCACTTGTTTCCTAGCAACCAAATTACACATTACTAAAGTCGTAACTAGCTAACTCTTAAGTTTTAATGGTGCAACCCCATTTTGTAATTCACTAGTTTGAAACTAGCTTGTAGTTAGCAACCCAACCCTGAGCCTGCACTGTTTCAACACAGAGGTGTGTGTGTGTGTGTGTGTGTGTGTGAAGCAACATGGAGCATTGGGGACTGCCCACACAGTTATTAACAACAACATTATAACAGTGCTCCCAATGTTAACTCATTAGTGAGTGTAGCCCTCACTACATACACAGGTTAGCACCAGTGACAGCAGCCATTTGGAAGCCTCTCGGACAAACAGGCATCTGATACAAACGGCTACGGTACATTTCCACAATTTTTCAATGAAATGTCGCATTTCATCGATAGTGACAGCTGAAGAGTGACAGGAAATGGTGGAGGGAGAGAGGGGATGGCACGCAGGAAAGGGCCACAGGTCGGAGTTGAACCCATGGCCACGGCAGCAAGGACTCGGTACATGGTCGCTCCACTGTTGTTACTTTTGATTGCTCATTATTTAAGCTCAATAATATTTCATTAGGAACTATTTATGGAGCACCATGAGAGTGTGACAGAGTAAACGTGCCACATGAGGCCACGCAGCACAAATGTTCTTCAAATAACACATTTGTAAAATTACCTTTATGAACTGCTGTTCGGCGTGCATCATTAGGCTGGTGGACCTGAAAGTTTCTGGCTGTATTAATGGGCTGCACTGCCAGTCTTGTTTTATTGAGCCATTGTTATTCTGACAAATAAGCACTTAATGCTTATTTGTCTAAGTAGGGTACCAAAAAGCTGTCAGTAGTGCCGACCTGTGCAATTATTTCTCAATTGTTTACCTGAGGGCTACAATCCAGTACAGGCATAGTGAGACACATCACTGTGCTTGCTTCCCAGCTGTGTTTATAAATGCACATTCACTGTCTTGATTGCAACAGTTTATGAAGTACTTTGAAAACTCAAAATATGGTATAATGTCCATAGAAAGAACTTTCTCTTTATCCTAATTTCCCTTCAACAACAAAGCGTTACCCCTACCAAGTAATAAGATTCCTCACCTTGGCCTCCTCCATCTGCATGATGTTGGCCTGGCAGTCGGCGATGCTGTCGTTGATATAGTCGATGTTGGCGCTCAGAGACTCCAGCTCCTCATTCAGGGAGGCCAGGGAGCGGTCGGCGTCTGCACCCTCCACTGCCACCTTCTCTCTCTTTCTGGACACTCGCTCCCTCCGCCTGGTCAGCTCTTCCCGTTGCTAAAGCAGGGAACAAGAGAGGAAGGAATATACAGTAAGGGACAAACAAGCCAGTTCATGTAGGATTTAACACATTTTACAAGACAAGAATTTAAAATTTCAGTTTCACAGGCAAATACAAAAAACAACCCACAATTTCTTCTCTTCTTGCTTTATTTTTTCTTGAATCTGATTATGTTATGTGTCACCTTTAGCAGTCTGTTCATATCTGTCTCCATGTTAGAGATGGTCATCCTCTGCATGATGATGTCAGTGACACGTCTCTCCAGTGTCTGCCATTTGGCCCTGGCTGTCCTGCTGAGGTAGGTACTTCCCATCCGCACTGGAGAACTCCTGAGGAGAAAGACGTGGCTCTTTTAGAAACTCTTAAAAACACACAAACAACCTCAGCACACATAAACACGCTCAGATGCAGTACCTGGCTCCATTGGATGGGGACGCTCCAGAGGTGTGCATTCTCCCTGGGGTGGCTCTGTGTGGCGGCTCCTCGGGTAAGCTCACCTTCCTGCTCACCTTCCCGGACACGGGCCTCACCTGCCGCCTAAGGGCTGTCACCTGATACAGGTCAAAGAAGAGAGAGTTTATTTTGCATTATAGAGTGAAACAAAAGCAGATGTAAACCTTGTGATACTATCCATACTCTCTGCAGTGTGACTGTGTGTGTTTGTGTGTCACCTCTTCATTCTTCCTGCGAAGAATCAGCTCCTGTTGTCTTTTCTGGGCCTCCATCTGCTTCAGTTGGTGCTGTAAGAAGAAATGAATGTTAAGTCATCTACAGTGGGAAAGTGAAGGGTTGGTAAACTATGACTTTGAGTATGTAAGTCATGACAAGAATAAAAAAAAAAAACAGAAATATATATTACATTTACCTTTGAAACACAATCATAATTGAACTTTGAGAGCGCTAACTATGACGTATAGAATATTTTTTTACACATATCAGCCTAAAAACCTTGACTTTAGGTGGGTTTACCCTTGACTTTATCTTTGCTTATCTGTAAAATAAACCAAAAAGAAGTACTCTGACAAATAATATGTAGACACGTGAGGTTTCCTCTCACCTCAGCTCTGCGCTGGTCTTTCTTCAGAGAGGCGATCTCCCTGTTCCTCCTGCACTCTGTGGCTCTGTTTCTCTCCTGCTGCTCCTTCATCTGACGCATCAGCACCACCTGGTGGAGCATAGCAGGAGAGGATCAGCACTGAAACAAGGCAAGTGTTAAAGAAAAAGTGAAAGAAAAAAGCCCACAACCTATCCCTTTACCTTGGTCTTCTTCATCTCATTCACATCCATCTGGAGTTTCTTGAGCTGCTTCTCGTACTGCGACTGGTTCTTGAGCAGGCGGGCGTGCTCCTTCTGGGCTGACTGCAGCTTCTGCAGCTCCTTGTTCATGGAGCTCAGCTTCCTCTCATACTCCACTTTGATCCTCTTGGCCTTCTCCTCCGTACCAGACTCCACTGAACCTGGAGATGAAGAAGAAAACCATGAAAGAACAGTCCTTTATTTGTTTTTTTTCTTTTAGAAGGTACCAATTTTAAGGCCCGTCACAGAAGTCAAGTATCTGTTTTCATGTGTCTCTCACCCATATTATGCAGCACCTTGTCCCTCTCCAGCTGCGTGTCTTTGATCTTGTTCTGCAGCATCATCAGCTTCTGCTCGTACTGCTGTTTGAGAGTGTGCAGGCGCCGCTGGCTGTTCTCCAGCTCGTCTATCAGCTTCTGCTTGATGGCGATCTCGCAGGTGATGTTGGCCAGGTCGGCCTGGACGTTTTCTGCCGCACAAACGCATCATTACACCTCGACGGCCACTTCCGTTTTTAACACCAGCTATGACCACAGAAAAAAGGCTGCGCATAACGACTTGTCTTGCTACGGCTAACTGTACCTTTCTCCTCCAGTTCTTCAGAGTCAGACTCGTCAGACGTCTCATCTCCCGCCATGTCGGAGTCCTCTTCCTCTCCGTCTGCATCCTCGACTTCTTCGTGGTCGCTGGCCTCCTGGCAACACGTAAGCACAAGCATGGAGATGACAAAACACACTAATAAACGTGCAATAAACATCTTTAAACAGCGATTTAGACGGCCAGTTAGTGATTCTCCACCTACCACTTCTGCCTCCTCGTTGACTCGCTCCTGCTCGTTGTCTGGCACTTCCTCTTTGACAACACTGAAAGAAGAGTAGACTGTTAGCCAGCTGCTGACCAAGACACAGTTCTTGTAGATACTGTAGGTCAGATTTGGAAGGAACTGCAATTCAAATTACAACAACGATGGGTAAATTGCACATGCAAACGATTATATCGTTCACTCAATCATTTAATCAGATCAGGAGCAGTTGTGGAATCAGTGTTGATTAATGGATGATTTCGCTCTGATTGCACGGGGGGACAACGTTAATGATTAATAGACACTGGGAAAGACAGAACGATTAACCGATCATGAAAAGTTATTACCATCCACACTGCAAACTGATTTCATTTCAAGAAGGGCTGCCACACACAACTAAGATCTGTTGACCAAATACTTCCATCATTTTCAAAGTCCAATTTTTTTAAGTTTGAAACACTACTTATGATGAGATTTGATCAACATCTTGCCATGTGCAGTGAAGAGGAAAAAAGAGACAAAACAAAGGGTTAAGGGGAAGAGGTGAGAGCTGGTTAAAATATCTGCTTCCCTCCAGGAGTGTAAACCACCTGTAGGTGCAGAAGAAGTTAGAGATTAGTTACTCTGGGAACTTAGAGAGGGGGATTTTGGGGTTCGGACCCAGGTCAACAATGAAACCCTGCCAATTACTTGGTGCATTTCAATCCGAGCACTAAGGGACATGATCTGCACCACTGGTAATTGAACTAGTTTCAGATTTGACCCAGTCCAGGATGGGGTCTAGCAAACCTGGCGTGTTCAACCGGCGTGTGGTGGTGATTCTCTTCGCATCGCCTTAGTCTTCGGAGAGACAGAGAGAGGGGCGGAAGGTGGGAGGGATGGGGGTAAGGATGGTGAGGTGTGGAGGAGGTGGTAGAGGGGTGCAGAACAGGCCGGCAGAAGTTGGGGCAAGTGCGGGAATGTTATGAGACAGGAGAAAGACAGAGAGTGAGAGAGCAGCGAGAAAGACCGGGTGAGTGCAGGGGCTCTCACATACAACTTGTGTTCATATGATGAATCCTACTTATGGCGACACATGATTAAATCCCTCTCTCCGAATGTGCAGATTTCAAGCTGGCACTCACAAGTATAGAAAGACACAGACATATTATACAAACACTCACAACAAAAGGGTAAATGATCATTGTGCTACAGCGCGCCAAAGCACCCATCATCATTAATAGCTTGTCTCAATCCTGCCTCCATAAAAAGAACATCAGGGTGTAAAGTGCTAATGCAGGAAGCCAGGAGATAATTACCAACAGCACACCAGGCTGCACACCCTCGCCATGGCAACAGACAGACATCAAGACTCTCTTTTCAGGTTCTTTGCAACAAAAAGCAACAAATCCCATACCATACCTCTTCTTCTTCTTTTTCTCCTTCTTCTTGAGCTTCTCCAGGTCCTTCTTGGCCATCTCGATGACGTCGCTGGCCTCCTTCTCGGGGGCGAGGAGGGCGGAGGAGAAGGAGCTGGGCCCGCCGTACAGCGAGGAGCGCGTGGAGGCCCGGGACAAAGTCTTCCTGAGATTCTCGCTCACGGCCTCGCTTTCAAGAAGTTTAGCTCTGAGAGACGATGATGATTGAATGATTAAATGAAAAAAGAACAATAACACACATTTGGGTTTGAAATCCTGCTGTCTTGTTTGTTCATTCGCTGTACGAGTATGGCTTGTAGACACTTATTCCTGTGCACACTTACTTAAACATTACTGAACAGTTGCAGTATGTGGAATCTATTTAACAATTATTTATATCTACAATTGCTATTGCCGCCACTGATTAAATGGTTAAGTGGTTTGGAAAAGCTGCTGATTAAATAATAATACTAAAATACTACAATCAAAACAAAGACGTGGTCAGTACCAACCTGAGCTCCTCAATTTCTTTAATGTAGTTCTGAATCATGTTCCCGATCTCTTCACTGCCTTCACCTGCAAGCAGAGGCATTACTTTAGCTTTAATATGGATTTATGTCGACTTGTCAGGAGCAGTGGTGGAGAAGATGATAAAGGTCACATATAACAACAACTACTCTCTATTAGTCTCTGAGAACCAGCTCATTTTTCATCTAGTGCCATCAGCAGGTAAAAATATGAATTCATCAGATACTTTTTACAACTAAAAACACATAAAGATGATGATGTTACCATCAGGCTCCGCTGTACTTTGTGTTTAGAGCTAACTAGCAAATGTTAGCATGTTAACAAGCTAAACGAAAATCTTGAACCTTATAAACATCAGCGTGTTTGCAAGATAAGAATATACAACGAACTACCTGTCTCATCACTTTGTCTAAAATGTCATAATACAAGCTAAGAACATAGTAAAATAGGCTAAAAAATGATTTATCTAAAATTAAAAAAAGGAAAATCTAAATAAATACAAAAAAATAATAATTAAAAAATAACTAAATACATAATCCTGTCACAGTTCCCACCTGCTTTAGCCAGGGCCTGGTTGGCCTGGTCACTGAGGATGTGTGTGAGTCTGGCTCTCTGGGCGTCGATGGTCTCCTGCATGGCCTTCACTCTCACCCTGAGGTTGTTGTTCTCCGTCTGCAGCATGGAGTTCTCATGGACCAGGTCGTTGATTCCCTCCATGCCATCTTCCCCAACCATACGCTTCCCCTGGGCAATTAAGATTAATATCAGGAAATATTATTTCCTCTTTTTATCTCTTATCCCATCTACCAGCCTCTCTCCTTTCCTCCTGCTTTCTTACCGTCCTGTATTCCATCAGCTCCATCTGCAGTCGCGCTATCTCCGTCCTCAGGGCGCTGATCTGCTGACTGGCTTTGTCCTGGTTCACCACCACCTTGTTCTTAATGTTTCGGGCTCTGTTGGCGTACTTCAGAGTGTTCAAGGTCTCCATGAAGTCCCGGTCTGACGGGCTGATACAGGCGATCATCATCGTTTGACTGGAGAACGCACAAATGAAGAATGGTGATCAATCCCCTTCGATTATGATGTAAGAATAAGACCACAGCGATGACTTTCCAGGTGTTTTTATGTTTGTGCTAGTCTTTTTACACATGTATTGAAACTATAATTGAGCCCAGTCAAAGGGTTATTGCATTAATATTGTAAGTTATGGCTCAACTTACAGATTTACAGTAAATGACACAATCATTGTTCTCAATAAAATATAATCAGTACAGAAGTGCTATGTAGCAATGATTACTGCATTGTGGGTGCATTCCCAAGAAGAAGTTGTACTGTCCATTATGCCAAGTAGCAATGACTAATCTGGCAACTATCTGTTCAAAAAAGACAGAAAAAGTTATTTTTGTACTAATTCAGGATAATTAGTGATGAGGATCGCTATGTAAGGCATACTGAAGGACAAATATAACCTATAGCGTGCCAGTAAACATTGTTTAAATTCAGACCAGTGAGGTACATTTGATATTCAAAGCAATTCTTTCATGTAGTACTTCTGGCTGCAGCTCAGTCACTGATTTCAAAGCAGGAATGTTGCCTTTTGCAGCAACAAAATATTTGTTTTGTGATCCATTATCAAAGCTATATGTCCATATTTCTATGAGATTCAGCCCCACAAACCTGTTGCCACCCAGTGAGTCCTGTAACAGCCGGGTCAGTTTGGAGTCTCTGTAAGGCACGTGAGTGGAGCGCTTACTCCTGTCTCCCAGAGCGCTGATGACGTTTCCTAAAGCGAGCTGAGGTAAGACGGTAAAGAAAGACAGGAGAGGGACATGTATTTAAAAAACAACAAGCTTGTGATTGGATATTTGAGGGTGAAACAATTCCATGACTTGCTGAAATAAGGAATAAACAACCCTCTACTTCTGAAAAAAAACCCCACCATTCCTTTGTACTTGAATGAAGCTTTAAATAATGGTACTTATGTTAGTCAAAGAAATAATGTGTGCGATTCATGGTCTGACCACCTGGGGGCTCTCTTGTACCACAAATTCATCAGACGCTGGTGAACGTTGATATGAGCAAATGAAGAGTTGTCAGCCCAATGAAGAAAAGGGATCAAATGCAGAAATACGACATACATGCCTACGACTGTGTGTGTGTCTTAGCTTCCTCACCAGCCCACAGTTGATGGAGATGCCCTCTTTAGCTCTGTCTCCTGTAGCTCCAGTTCTCTTCAGTCTCTCAGAACCAGCCAGATCCACAAAATGGAACTTGGCTGTCAGCGTCTCAAACTCATTAATCTCTGAGTTGTTCGCTAGACGGTTGTCTGTCACATTATCCTGGCAGAGAGAAGACAGAACAGGAAATAAACACAAACTTCTCAGCTACAATTTAAATGTTTCAGTGTGTTAAGAGCACGTACGTCGTTATCGGGGGAGCAGACTCGAACTTGGCACAGGTGGATGGTGAAGATGGCGTGGGAGCGCGAACTCTGGACGTTCATCTGGGTGCTGGCGGTGGTACGAGACAGCGCGCCCAATTTCAGACACTGTAACATCTGTTAGGGGAGAGGTGACGAGAAAAGGTGGCAAATAGAAGACAACTAAATGGGTGTATTCAAACATCATAGTAAAATCCATGAGCATGATATTAATACAGAAACTGTTAAGTATAGAGAACCGGTCCGTTACATAGCAATCAACTGGATAAAGAGTTTTGTTTTTTGGCATCAAAAAGGTGACATTTTCTATTTCCTTAAAATATCAATCAGGTCAATCAGATTGATAACCTTGCTATGGTCAGCTAACATAGGAGTTTTTCTTTAGTACAAAGCAGTACTAGAGAAAACTTTTAACAGTAGTAGAGGTTCTTTAGAGTAACAGGGAAACTGTTAAACAAGTAGAATTCATAAATCTAATAGACAGACATCTCTAAAGCCAAAAACTACTGTACCTGCATTGATGGAAACCATGCAGGTACAGGGTGACCTTTCATATTCTAGTGGTGGTTTGGAGTAATCAGTGTTTTCCATTTTAGAATAAATTAGGACTGGAATTCACTGATAAAACAATGATTTTAATAGTCAAATAATAAAGGCTTTGTGTAAAAAAACGCCTTCCAGGACGGGTCTGCGCGTTAAAGCTGACCTCTGTTGCAGAGGTGACGGTGCGAGTGGTAACCCCGACGGTGTAGATGCCTCCGCTGGCGTCCTCGTGGATTTTGATGTTGGATCTCTGCTTCCTGCCCTCCATTTCTCGCGTCGAGTCGAACAAGTCCAGCACCTCTTCGTTGTACAACTGGAGAGCGTGAAAACAGATAACGCACATATTATCACAGGAACAGTCAATATCATTATTACATTATTCCCAGCCTCAGCGCTGCACCTCAGCTGCTTCCTCACCAGCTGTTAGCAGCCACTTGTTGGCCGTTAAAAATAAATCCAGGAGCTGACCACAGAGACAGACAAATGACAGTTTAATGGCTGTGTGGTCATCTGGCTGCTTTCACAACTTAAAATCATTACACCCCCTGCTGACCTTTGACCCCTTCCTGTCTGCATGCACTAGCTACATCAAACTAATGGGCCTTAAGTGGACTGGATGTTTAGAGTTTAGACAGAGTGCTGATGAATGCACCTTCATTTGAGACTTGGTTGGAATCCTGAGAAACAGTCACATTTTTGGTGTGCCTCTGTGTGTGTGTGTGTGTGTGTGTGTGTGTGTGTGTGTGTGTGTGTGTGTGTGTGTGTGTGTGTGTGTGTGTGTGTGTGTGTGTTTCTGCACCTCCAGAAACTGTGCGTTGATCTTGAACTCCGGAACAGGCCTGCCCTGCTCGGTGGCAGCCTGCCTGCGCTCCTCGATTCCTTTGAACAGGTGGTTGACAGCCCGGGGAATGATACCTAGCTCGTCCTCCCCGATGTTGACGTCGAAGCCGGTTCCCATGGTGTAGGTCTTCCCCGAACCCGTCTGTGGGAGAAGACATCAGTTACTTTACCAAATGGGAATTAAAATCTGCTCTTATCATGTGTGTGTTTTCTGTGTATTTCTTAGCCGTATCATCCAACCATTCAACACTCTCTGAGACTCAGAGGTTAGGGTGCAGCCCCAAGAAGTTTCTCTGGCATGGGGGGGTTTCAGAGGAGATGGGGTAGTCGCCATGGTGACAAAAAGAGGAATGCAACATTGAGCTCAAATTCAAGCGTCACCCTCCCCAACAGACCCAGACAGGAGTGTGTGTGTGTGTGTCTTTGTATGTTGCGATAGACGAGGGAGTGCGTGTGAGCAAATGTGCGTGTATAAGAAAGCTGGTAGTGTGTGTTAGTCTGTTTTACTCTATGAGACCACACTAGTGCGGTTACTATGTGTACATCCACATACACAGTGTGTGTGGGGTTGTGTATGTGTGGCCTCCACTGCGCCGCATGAAAGGCTCTTTGACGGGAACACAAGGGCTGCAGGAACAATGTGAGGAGAGAATAATGAACAGAAAGAGCGAAGGGAAAGATTAAGAAGAGGGAACGTTTAACTGCTGTTGTTCAGCTGCAGCCGCAGACACAGAACCCTAAAAAATACTTCTAAGTTTTTTATGTTTAGGTGAATTTAGGTGAGTATTCTCCAAAGGAGTCAAAGCAGGAGTTACAGTCTTGTGGCTCATTTGCAATCTGGCAACCAAAATATCATTTAATGTGACATTTGCTGAATTGTTGGAGGTCTCTACAATGGACTTTGCCTTAAAATTGAGATTGTAAGTATTTACAATAATGTTTAATGTGCCATTTGTGAATTGTTTGACTCTCTGCTGTACATGGGTATAAACATATGTGAAACAGAATATTTTTTCTACTTCTATCAAAATCTTACTAGCAGCACCTATAAAGCTCACTAAATAGTAGATTATATGCAGTTTGTTTAATGTGTACAAGAACAGAAGTGTCATTTTTAAGAGAACTCATATTTACTTTACAGACATGGTAATGTAAGAAAGTGAATAAGAGTATTTCCCAAAACTATTCCAAACTGTGAAGCTGTCAGTGGGAAGGTTAGTGTTTCATCTGTTTAATGTCTCTCAATTACATGTTTAGTTCCCTGCTCTGGTATGAGGTGAAGCAATCTGTTCACACTCTGCTGTCATTGGGCCATAAACTCTCTCTCTCTCTCTCTCTCTCTCTCTCTCTCTCTCTCTCTCTCTCTCTCTCTCTCTCTCTCTCTCTCTCTCTCTCTCTCTCCAGGCTAATCTATCAGAGCCAATATAAAGCTGTGGTGGTGAGAGCAGGTTGGAACAAGTCAGCTGATAGCGTATTGACAGAGCGGGCGCAGCTGTGAGGCCTGTTCACTCCCGTATTGCTTGTCTGATGATATTAAAATAAAATCAGCTTCATATCACATGCTGCCATAAATCTTGCGATGCTGGGAGCAGCTCCATCCCCTTGAGCGATGCGAGGTGGAAAACTTCAGCAAATGTGAATGTGCCAGTGTGTGCGCCATGCCCCTGTGCAGATCTAGTAACACAAGGAAAAGCCTGTTGACCAACCTGCCCGTATGCAAAGATAGTGGCATTGTAGCCCTCAAAGCAGCCTTCGATGAGTTTCTCCGTGCATTGGGTGTAGATGGCTTCCTGCTGGCTGTCCATGTCGAAGACGTGGTCGTAGGTGAAGGCCTTGTCCTTACCCAGGAACACCTGCGGCTCCCCGGGCATCACATACGTACAGATGTGACAGCCCTCGATCTTCTCTTTGGCCAGCTGAGGACGGATCCTGGTAGACAGAAAGAGACAAAGACAGTGAGATTTTTAACAGCCCACTTAACTTACTTCTTCCTAGCTTTTAGCTTATTGGGAAAAGAAAATTCCAGTGCTGATCCTTTTTAAAGCAGGAGACACAATAAACCCTCTAATGCAAGGCTGCAAATTAGATAATGGTATTAAATAGCAAGTAGCAGCCCTGCCTAAAAAAACCCTGAAATCCTTTAGATTGAAACTACAATCAAACTATCATTGCATGTTTTTTAGGCAAGTATTGACCAAGAGATCCCCCCCAAAAAAAAGATTAGTCTACAAACATGCTAGCATGCTAACATTTGCTAATTAACACTAAAGTTCAGCTGAGGCTGATGAAACCAAAGTTAAAAAAAGTTAAAAAGTTAAGGGGTCACCAAAGGGGAACATGAATGTGTGCAGAAAAATGTCAAAGCAATCGATTCAAATGTTTTTGAGACCAACCGATATACTGACATTGCCACACCACGAGGCTAAAAATCAAACCCTGTCAAGGACAATTCCAAGACCAATTTCAAAAATTCTCAAAAACCGTTACACTTCACAAATCACAAATCTTCCAGATTTCCCGGGGCCTTGGCAAGTCTGGTTTGCGGGTGTTTGTTAATGTGTGCGTGGGGAAGAGGCCGAGCAGAGCTGTCTGTGCATGCATCTAAAGCCTGATCAAGAATTTGTCTTATGTATGAAAACCATGATGAACCATGATTATTATTATTAGGTTTGATGGTAAAAATGTAGCTGAGGTGAAGCAAGCAGATGAGTGCTGCTACTTTGCTCTGTGTGTGTGTGTGTGTGTGTGTGTGTGTGTGTGTGTGTGTGTGTGTGTGTGTGTGTGTGTGTGTGTGTGTGTGTGTGTATATGAAGGACCATGCAGTGCCAGCACACTCTCCAGCAGTCACCGTACACAGTACAGTGCCCTCACTGTTCACGAGAGAGCTCTGGGTAAACAGAGTCCCACCCTGAATTTCATTAAGGAATCGCTCTGTTTGCTTTAGTGCAAATAAACACACTGTTATTACATCATTTCCTCCCATGATGCTCCTCTGCTGCTCATCACTGAACTCACTGTCCACCTGAAGAGGAAGTGGAAATATTGGAGGGAGACCAAAGAAATATTTAGACATATTGGGAGCAATACAATTTTAGAAATACTTGCAGCTTTGAGAGAAAAATATTAAAGATTATATACAGCAAAGGATAATACCAAAATACTTAGTAATAATATTAGACAAAACAATTGAAATTTCCTGCTGGGATACCTTTTGTGGGTACTAAATACATTTCTCCAAGGCTACAGCCCAGCGAAATGAAAGCACAGGAAAAAAATCAACAACCGAGACACCTGAGAATCTCAGAGCAGTGACGTTATAAATGGCCGTTATTGTTGCTCTCTGCTGACAGGCATTTAGTGTGTGAGACAGTGTGTGTGTTAGGATGTGGAGCTTTGCAGTTTGTATTGTGTATGCAACACGTGTGTCTACACTTTTTGTGTGTGCTTGCATTAAGAAAAGACTCTCACAGCAAGAGTCTATAGAACTTCTGAATGGCCTGAAAGGAAAGTCTGCGTGTGTGTGTGTGTGTGTGTGTGTGTGTGTGTGTGTGTGTGTGTGTGTATATGTGTGTTTGTGTGTGACATCAGATCCCAGCTATTTAGCAGCCTCTATCTGGGATTACAGCCTTGATGAGAAAGGAGGACAGAGTCAGGCAGGGACCAATGGATCCAGGCTGGAGGAGAAACACTGTCCTACCTGCAGTAACTGTACACCTGTGCAGCATTATTACTGTCAGCTCTGTGTTATGGACAGCACGACTGCCCAAGTTATCACAGTGTATACAATGAATTCTATATCTAATGTCAGCAATGTCTTTCAACAAGATTATTTTGCTTTGTGACCACTTAAAGTGTTTAAAATATCCAGCTTTGCATCAGTATTTACTAATTGTTTGTCATGGTACGGGACAGTCTATTTGCAAGTAGCATATACCAGAAAAATCCCCTAACTTGGCAAGTGTTGACTTGACTATAAAACCACATAAAAACTGGGGGCAGCAGTATGAGATGTCACCCATTATTCCAGTACTTTGAAACTGCATATCCATTGCATTGTTATCTATGAATGGAGGTAGACAGAAAGACCCATAAATGCTTGACAAACTAATTCAGGGAAAAAAGTTTTTTGTAACATGTCACCCTGTTTACAATTGTTGTTTTTCACACTTGAGTGTCCAGTGTCCATTGGGCATTCATTTATGATTACTCAATGTAATCTTTTGAGTAAAAACAATTTTGCCTATTCACTCCAGCAGACACAGAGTGACGTTAGCAGTAATTTTGAGTGACCACTGGGTGTCTTTTAGCCTTATTTTGGTCTCCACCAACTCCTGCTAAACATGAATGTCCCACTATGTCCACAAGCTAGTCGCTAACTTTGTTTTTCCTCGGTTCCTACACTAAAAAGCTCCGTACAGCTGAGGGCAACTGCAGCGTCAGGGGATAATTCTCTGTGAGGTCATGAATATAAGCATCCCCTTTCACACATCCAAAAATATTCATTCGTTTTATAACAGTGCTCATTATATATATTATATATAACTGAGGTTGTTCTAGGTGAAACTGACATAACAGTAACAGTCAGTGTTTAGGTCACCTGAGGAGACAGTGATTTAATGGTAGGATGGTTTAGGGGCTTTACAGGAGTGAATCTGCATTAATCCTTTTGGCCACCTTCCCAAAACTTGACGGAGAGCCATTACTGTAATCCAGTGTAACAATGGAGGCTCTCACTGCTGCTTACACCAAGGGCATTAAGTCACTGGGTCATTGTTCACTTCGGCAAGTTAAAAGAAGTGGAACAAAACACGTATTTCAACATCATGTCAAATTTAGAACATGTAAAATTCTGTTAATTTAAGTATAGAAAGACGTCAATGGTTGCCCAGTGTATCAAATAACAGAACAAGCCTGTATTACTGTGGCCCCATTTAGAATAAATGTCTAGTGTTTCTGGTTGTGTTGTGATGCAATGTTTGTTTCGTGTAGTAGGTCTACGACATCTCCAGGGTCCTCCATACATAGAGGGCCCCGGGGAAGGGTGGGCTGAAGAGGAAAATGAATGCCTGAGGAAATAGAGAGAGATAAAGAGAATGAAAGAGGATGAAAAGAGAAAGAGACTGGGCATAATGGTAAGAGCCCAGACAAAACACTGATGACAATCAGCATTTGGAGGCCTCTGCAGTCCATCCAGTCAAACAGACCTATTATCTGTCTGTGTAATGATGCTCTTTCACATAACAAGACCATCAGGCTGAACTGCCTTTACGAACTCTGCTGTTTTTTTATCACTCATTTTTTGGTTCTTTAAGGTTCAAAGAGACACATTCTAAGACTGTTCCTTCCTTCATGTACTCTAAGGAAATAAGGCCTCAAGGGGTAATTAAATCTTCTACCTCATGACAACCCACTTGCCTTCCCACATTACTTTCAATGAGATTTCTTTATGTTTGGACATAACGTTTCCAGCCTTTATGCTAAACTAACTGTGTCCTGGCTATTTGCCTAATGCTTAACAAAAAAATATGAGAGTGGTGTTGATACTCTCACCTAACTCTTGGCAGGAATGAGAATTAGAGTATTTCCCAAAATGTCAAACTATTCCATAATCATTTGGTTAAGTTTAGACAACTAAAACACTTAGTTTAGGTCATAGAAGGTTTGTGGTCATGGTTAAAAAATGCTGCCAAAAAACAGTCCAGAAACTCAGACATGCTGTGTTACTTTTTGCCCTGTTCCCTAAAATACATGCTAGTTTTTGCACTGAACTTTGCCATTGGATACCAATCTTACACTGCTGAATTGTACTCTAGATAGATTTTTATAGTGCTCTAAATTTAATGTAAGCCAATGGCTGATAAAAAGTTACTCTAAAAATGATTCTAGGATGCTTTATAAAATGTTAAATAGGGTTTTTTTTCATATAGGCTGAAACCTGTAAAACAGCTGCCTCCAGACGATTGGTTTAATCCCTGCTGTGCATCATTAGATTTCTGATGGTGTGTAACAGATCTCAAATAGATAAAGTTAAAATATTTCCTAGCCTCACATTAATGCTGTTTGAGCGCTGTGGCACAATGGACCTTTATTTTGAGTAATTCTTTGGATGTGTATATATTCACAACTAATACAAGTTCTGGCATCAGACATCTCAGCTAACTGTAAACAGGTGAGGGATAAGTTAGGTGTGAAGCGCGTCCTGCTGGTGTATTATTAGTGTGACTGACTTTGGCTGTGATTATGATCTGGCAGCTTCACTTTTCTGTGGTTCAACCCAAAACACTCTTTTCTCCTGAATGAATAAGGGCTGCCCTTCAGCGCTGTGGAGACTTACAGCGCTAATCCACCTTCTAGAGTGACACACACAGGCTCCTCACAAGACGGTTTCTCCAGGAAATTTAACTCCACCACTTCCTAAATGTGCACAATCATGCACACACACACACACACACACACACACACACACACACACACACACACACACACCAAAAGAGAAGCAGCCTCAACACACACACACACACAAACACACACACACACACACACACACACACACACACACACACACACAAAGAGAAGCATGCCTCAACACTTTCCTATTCTTGTAGATACTATTTTACTGTTGTTCACTAAACATAATTTGGGTAATAGTCATTAAACTTCATTATGCAACAGCTCGATGATCCTTCAACAAGCTGATTATTTTAAGTATATATTTGTCTTGTATGTTGAAGTGAGATGTTAAAGTAAGTTTTCTAGTCTCAAGAAACATCGATTATTGGAGAATATCCAATGTGAACACCCCCATTCACAGGCGCACACACACACACACACACACACACACACACACACACACACACACACACACACACACACACACACACACACACACACACACACACACACACACACACACACACACACACACACAC